TGTCTTGCGACAATACATTGAAAACAAATTTAGTAGCATGGTATTAACTAAATTTTGGATATTAATAAAAAGATGACTATCCTCTTCTGAGTGGAAAAGCTCAGAATTTTATTTCCATTTGTGACTTTATTTGTGCGAAGCTGGGTTTTCAGCTGTCGCTGTGATAAAAACTAAGTATTGCACGAAAATCAATGTGGAGAAGGAAATGAGGGTGGCTGTGTCCAATTTGATTTCAAGATTTGAGAAAATTTGCAGTAATCAACAGGCTAATCCATCCCACTAATTATAATTAATTGAATTTGTTCAATTACCATATTTACTCGCATATAAGACAAGGTTTTTATTCATTTTTCACTGCTTCAAAAACCTAGGTCGTCCTATATGCACAAGCAAAGGATTCTTCACATTTCTGCAATAATTTTTGTGAACCGCACGTTCACATTTTTTACTGGATGATCACCCTCTTTTGTTTAAAAATAGAAGTATTTTATCTGGGTTGTTTTAATCATTCTTGTGAATTGTCAAGAGTAAGGATAAATAACAATAGGAAAAGCAAAGATTTTAAATTGAATTCAAATTTGAAATTCCAAAATCACACAGGAACCTGATATAAGTTTTAATCCATTCCCACGTTAAAACAGTTGATTATTTGGAAATCTGAATTTGGAGAAACTGATAAGAGTAATCGACGGAGAGTAGATTCAACTGTTAAGAATTGGCAAAAAAAAATTCCGATTGTCCAGCTTTACGTGAACAAATGTTGTTGATTTTAAAAGATTTTCCCTTAAAGTTTAAAATGCCAGTAATTTTGCAGGATAATGTATGCATTTACGTGCATTTGATACTTTCTTTGTGATTAAATGAAATAAAATAAAATTGTATTAATAAATCTAATTTTCTTTATTCTGATTTTTAAAGTTACACCTCGTCCTACATGCGAGATTGTCTTATAAGCAAGTAAACACGGTACATTTTTTCCATCTCTACATGTTTTATTTATTTTTTACTTAACGTGCGAACTCTCTAATTTAAAAAATTTAGTTATTTTGCAAATTTTACTTGTTAGAATTTGACATAGGGTGCCTTGGAAAAACCTGGATTTAGGAGAGCGCCAAGAATCAAAAAAGTTTGAGAACCACTGGTTTAATATTAACACACCAGAAATATTTAATATGATATGCTAAGTACTAAATATACAATATGAAATAAAAAATAAAATGAGTTTATTGCAGGGGGAAAAAAATGAATTTTTCTGCAGTAATATTGAAATTGGCTTTCCCCCATACCACCATTACTAAGGTAATACATATAAAATTTAAAACACTATCAATAAAGTGCAATATTGCAGAACTTTGTATACTGGATTGACTAAATTTCCTTATTTTATTTAATGGCTTTTATATCAATTTCCAAGCAATGATGACAACCTACTGAACAATTTTTCAGAACCCAACCTCTTTTCTCAAGTTTTTATGGCATGGATCTCTTTCATGCTAAAGCAAGGAAATCTTATAGTACCTCAGTTTAATGTCTCATTGGAAAAATGAGATGTCTGCAGAACTTATAACCATAGAAAATTACAAATGACCCAAACTGTCTTAGAATTTTGTTTCAAGTACTATACTGCCTATTTTATATAATTTGGCCACACAAAAAAAAATTATTAAATTAAGTCTTCCTCAAACTACCAAATGACTTAAAGTAAACAAAAAAAGTTTTTAAAAAAATTCAAAATTACATTTTTAAAAAGGTGCAACTTTGATAATTTTTCTGGACAGGAGTCCACAATTTTCCTTTACATATGCATCATTTACAGTGTCTGTAGTTTGAAATGTAGAGTCTATAATTTGATTTTAATAAAAATTTGTTAAACTATTTTTGAGTGTCCATTCTTGCTGTATGAAATCATCAGATTTTTTCTATCCACAGCCAAATTAACTTTCAGATGAAACATCACAGCTGGCTGATAAGATGGTAGAGCAACTTCAATTGCTTTTTCTAGTTTAGAAAAAATATGATAAATTCTGGCTTTGGATATAAAAGTCCTTCACAATCATTTAAATTTATTAGATTCATAGAAGGGACAAGTCTTCACTGATTCAAACAGCCAGAACAATCAATATGCTGTTCTACAACCCTAACTAAGTATCCACCAATGTAGGAACATTGTTAAAGAACAAATATTAGTCTGTTGATAATGTCACAAGATCTGGTTACAAGGAGTTCAGTTCTGTTTCTATTGCCTTCAGTACCTCTTCTACACTTCTAATTTCACAAGTTGACATTTTTGATTTATTCGAAATACAAAATGGCACAGAAAAATGCACCACAGTAAATTAATCTTACAAAAATAGCAAAAAGCACCAAGAAAAATAATGTTGAATAATTATTTGAATACTACTGAAAAAATAATTCTCACTCTTAAGCTTGTCTCAGTGCAATCAGTAGGCTGTTCATAAGTGCCACCAATAAATATCTAGCAAATTGCTGCCAGGCATGATACACCAGCTAAGAGGGAATGGCTAGGGTATTTTATTCTATTGATTTAGTGCTGTATATGCCACCACAGACAACATTTGTTACATTAGGTTTTTTTCTGACCTTTCATATTTAGGAAAGGTTAAGTACTGTATTTAAAAAAAGTTATTTAAATTCCCCCATTTTTGTTTTATATAAAATTCATTACATATAAAAATTGAATTATTTTCTAATTCAATTATTTGTTTAAACATAGTATAGAACTACAGTTTAAAAATATACCTGAGAATAAGTAATGGCTAAAATAGGACAAAGATAGCATATGCTCACATATACAGAAGTATCTCTCATAAAACCAGCCCAACTCACCAACTGAATGAAACCAGACTTTTTAAATGATGGGAAGGTATTAGTTATACATGTTTCAAGAAAAGAAAAAAGTTTTTCAAAAAAACTTTGGAAAAAGGGGGACAATAAAATTAGACAATATGAAAATTATAATATTTGAATTCAAATCAAATTACTCAAATCAGGCCAGTTGAACTTGTGACATTCTTTATGCATAGAACGTACAGTATATACAATTAAGAGAGAAAACAGTATATTGCTTGAAAATAAATACCAAAAATTGAAAGACAATAGAAAAAAAAATTTTAACACTTGAAAATCCTTTCATAGCCTGAAATAAGAACAGTAAAATTAATTGAAATAAACTAAATGATAAAACCAGTAAAATTATTTTGCTTCATTACAACTATAGGGTTGGCAACTAAGTGATTGCAGATTTTGTCAATAGGTGGCCTTAGCACATTTTTTTGCTTTGTCATCGTGTTCAAAGCATTTAACCTATATTGTTTTCTTATTGTTTGGACTTCCACCTTTAATTTACTAAAAAAAAATTGTATCGATTAGTTACTTAGTTTCGTTTTTATTCCAATTTAAAAATGGAAGAACAAGACATGCATTTCAGACATATTTTATTGTATTATTTCTGAAAAGGCAAGAACGCATCACAAGCACACAAGAAGTTATGTGCCATATGTAGGAATGAAGCCTTAAAAGAAAGGCAGTGTCAAAATTGGTTTGCCAAATTTCGTTCTGGTGATTTTTCACTGAAAAATGCTCAACGATCTGGCCGTCCAGTTGAAGTTGATGAGACCCATATCAAGGCCATTATCGATTCAGATCGTCATAGCACAATGCGTGAGATTGCACAGAAGCTCAATGTATTGCATACATGCATTCAAAAAAATTAAAACAGCTTGGCTATGTCAAGAAACTGGATTTATGGGTCCCTCATCAGCTTGAGGAAATTCATTTGACGCAACACATTAGCATCTGCAAATCTCTTCTGAAACGCAATGAGATTGATCCATTTCTGAAACGACTGATTACTGGCGACAAAAAGTGGATAGTTTATAGCAACGTTAATCAGAAAAGATCGTGGGTGATGTGAGATGAACCAGCCCAGATGACACCAAAAGCTGAGATTCACCAAAAAATGATTATGCTGTCAGTTTGGTGGGATTATAAAGGAACTCTGTACTTTGAACTTTTACCAAGAAACCAAACGATTAATTCAAATGTGCACATTCAACAACTCACCAAACTAAGTGATGCAGTTCAAGAAAAGCAGCCAGAATTGGCAAATCATAAGGGTGTTGTTTTCCAGCATGATAATGCAAAGCCCCACACATCTTTGGTCACTCGCAAAAAATTATTGGAGCTAGGTTGGGATGTGTTGTCACATCCACCATATAGCCCTGACCTTGCGCCTTCAGATTACCATTTATTTCGTTCCATGCAAACTCCTTAAATGGTAAAATTTTTAATGATGCTGATGATGTAAAAACACACTTAATTCCATTTTTGCTAGCAAAAATCAGAAGTTTTACAAACATGGAATTATGACACTGCCTGAAAGATGGCAAGAGGTCATTGACAAAAATGGACAATACCTAATTGAATAAAGTTATATTTTTAAGCAAAAATTTTGAATTTTCCTTCTTATTTAAAATCTGCAATCACTTAGTTGCCAACCCTATACTTTAAGCTCCACTGACTGAAGTATGCTGACTCCTAAATTATTCTACAATTTGAAATTCTAAAGAATTTGGATAAACTGACTTATCACATTTTAACCCCCCCTACACACAATCGTGAATAGTCAAATTCTTCTTCTTCAACGTAAATAAACGAATTTAAAAAATACAACGAATGATTTCTGTATTATTCGATATAAGAGATTTGTGTAAGAATTATAACAGAAAAAGACAATGAGTTAGTCACACAATAAACTGTAATAATTTTGAGTTAACCTCTGACCTATTAGATTCGAAAAATTAACTTTTCCGTGTAAAATGGTTACATTTATAATTAACTCTATTGTAAAGAAAATATTTGAAAAATCAATTTAAAATAAATTTATTAAAAATTTGACAAAGAAACGTGACAATGAGACCGTTGTCTCTCTTACTGACAAGATTTGTCAAGAACAATTGCATTTTTATCTCTAATCTTACCGCTCTATCAGCTTTTTTTGTCGCCATCATTTCTTTAGAAAACAATTTTAAGAAATTTAAGCACTTCACAAACTCTAAGACGAAAAAATTGCACGTGGAATAAACTTATCTGAACAGCTCGTCAAACTTCCAATTCAAAATGAAAATACTCTTATCTGATTGGCGAACTTTCGACTTCTTCTACTCTCATATTGGTTATATTTTTGACGTCACAATTTAAATATCCCGACGGTTCTTTGAATTTAATTTGATAATAATGTTGTGTCTTATAAATATATCGTCAAATAAAACGTGTTATGTTACTAAATGTATTAGATTATAATAATTTCTAAAATTATTATAATTTTATCACTATTAAAAGAATATATTTCGTTAGTTACCGAATAGATTTTTTTAAAAGGAAAATTATAAATTAAAATGCGTTTGTTTACTGTATTAATTTACGAAATTCACTATATAAATATATAATTTTATGAGATTAGAAATACATTTTTGAAAAAAAAATAATATACAATGCCATCTGGTGGACAGAAGTTTTACGCGAATGGAATGGTGGACGGCAGTTTGGCTCTGAATTATTACTAAAATAAGGTAAAAATAAATAATTTTATCATATATTTTATTTACTTTTCAGATATTTTGTGTAAGTAAACTTGATAAGCAGCTACAGCTACAAAATAAATTTAATCATTGAATTACTTTTACAGTTAATATCCATACACGTGTTGGTATTTTATATTTGACCTTATCAATTTAGTAAAATCGCATTTTATCTCGTGCCAAGAAAGTATATGCACCAGCGCCACCGTTTTACGACGGTTACATATTACGATATGCAAATTGGGCCGCAAGATTTAAGACTGGTTCTACAACTGTTGGGCAGAAAGTTGGCAATTTTTGGTCCTCCTGGCTCCAAAGAAGTGCCAATTTTTCACATAGGGCTACAGTCTTTTCTCACAGGATTATAGTTTAAGTTATCTGGAGATTGCTACAACTTTAAATTCTTTCGGTGTTTGGTATGTAATAAAAGAGAAAGTAGAACTGCAGTACAGTAGAACCTCGAAAACTCGGCTCTCGATAACCCGGCACTCCGGATAACTCGGCCACACCCTGGCAGGCAAAAAAATCCTTAGTTAATTAATTTTCATTATAGACAGCTTTATAAAAGTATAAAAGCTCTCATAAAGTATTTTTCTGGGGTCTGTCTTATCAGGTAAATCACTGTACACAGTGTATTCATTAATTTTCATTTTCATGTAGTAAAGGCTCTATGCCTTTATAAAGGACGTACTTTTCCTCTGTTTAAGGGTATTTGGGCAGTTTATTCTCTGTTATATTTTCAAGTAAACAATACATACAAGTACAGTACAGTATTTTCTGAGGAAACACTCGTACT